CACAACTCGATACCCGAGTGCCTGCGACAGTATAATTGGCCCGATGCGCTGCAAGTCTCGTGCCAACAGCATTCCGGCATTTCGGTATCAACGCACGGCTTGCGAGCAGGCAGCGCCTAGGGTTAGATTCGCGCGTAGCAGCACTCCTCGATCGGCGGCGGCACCCGCTGCCGGGAGGACTGTCGAGTGACAATCGCGACGGCCGCACCTCCGACTGCTGCACCGATTAGGATGGCGGCGAGAAATGGGCCCAGGCCGGAGCCCGGCGATGGGATGCAGAAGGGAGCGAGAAACAAGTCTAGCTCGCCGGTGACGCCATCAGTGACGCCGACGGTCGTGAAGGTGCCCGTCTGGTTGAGCTGCAGCATGCCGATGCGCGCAGTGGGGGGCGAGCTCGAGCCCGCCGGGAAGCTGATGGGGCCCGTGATACCGTCATACTCGATGGTGCGTAGCATGGTAATGAGAGAGCGGTCAGCGTCAGCAGAGGCGCCAGCCCGTGCAGCCTCGTAGACCAGGCCGACCAGGTCGAAGCTGTATCCGGCCCACGAAGCAGAGGAAGGGGCGTGCCCATGCTCCTCGCGGAAACGGTGCTCGAAGTGGCGCATCGCTGGCGACCCCTCGTACGGGCGTCCCAAGTACGTGACGTATCCGACCGCGGCTGTCGCCACTCGGCGCCCCCACGGAGACGTCCAGCCCCCAGTCGGGTGCACCTCCTCCGTCGCCAGCCAGGTGTATGAGGCATCGCTAGTCATGCCCAGCGCCGCCGCCGCAGCAAAGATGCACTGCGTTGAGGGACCCGTGGCCGAGACGACAAGTGTGCGCACTCCGCTGGCCCGCACGGACTCGACCGCTTGCTGCACAATAAGGATGTTACTCGCATTCACCGCACAGCCGTCGCCAATCAGTTCGCCAGTCGTCGGGTCGGTGCTCGGGAAGGCTGCCACTGCGGACACGTCGATTCCGGCGCGCCGCGCCGACGCCTTGACAACATCTACGCCCGAAAGACCAAAGGCGTCCTGGGATCCCAGTATGCCGATCCGCTTGTCAGTCGCGCCGCCGTACACAATGCGCTCGCGCACCACCTCTAGAAGCAGTGCCGCAGCGCGCGAGTCTGAGTAGACGGAGCGGAACACGTTCGGAGACTGGTCGAGCGCCGAAGTGGTGGATCCGGCAGACAGCAGCGGGATACGATACGGTGCTAGATACGCCGCGGCGGCCACCGCAACACGCGACCAGTCCGCGCCCAGAACTGCATCAACGCCCGCGTCCACCATGCGAGCAAGAGTGGCATTCAAGCCGGCGACGCTGCCATTGGTCTCGACGACACAGACCAGCTCCATCTGCACGGGCGTGTGCGACACAGCCTCGTTGAACTCTTGCACAGCCAGCTCGACTGCAAGCCGCATGTCATGACCCCAAGCGGCAGTGCTACCGTCGGGGTAGTAGGACGAGGCCAGGTACCCCATGCGGACGATCCGGGCGCTGCTGCCCCTTTCCCCTTGTGGCTCAGCCTGCTCTGACGCGGCAAAGGCGAGCAGCCCCTGCGAAGGCGACGCCGAGGTGTACACGCGCGCCTCCTCCAGCCCCCGTCCACACTCAGCCTCGTCCTCCTCCCACTCGCTCTCGCGCAACAGCTGCGTGTAGCTGGCACTGGCACCCTCCTTGTCGCCGGCGTGGACGAGGGCGCGCGCTCGCCCGAGCAAGCAGAGCGGCATTCGCGGGAAGGCGGAAGGTGCGAGGCAGCGCTCGAAGGCGGCGACAGCCGCACGAGCAGCCTGCGGTGCATGCCCGGTGGTGTTGCGTCCGAGCAGTAGCAGCCGCAGAGCACCCTCGAGCGCGGCGGATGGTAGGAAGAGAAGCGTCACCGACGGGGGCAGCAGCAAAGCAGTCGCACCATCCTCGATGGCGGCCGCCTCGCTAACAAGGCGCATCGCCGCGCTGGTGTTGCCATTGGCGAGAGCGACCAGACTCTGCACCTGCAGCATTAGCGCACGCACGCACGCCGCCTCGTGCCGCTGACTCACATCGTCATAGTGCTGCAGAGCCCGGCCGATGACGCTGAGCGAGAGAGCGACGCGCTCCGCGAGGCAGCCGTCCTCGGAGGAGCACGCTCCCTCGATGAGGCCCTCACGCGTCTCAGCCGGAAGAGGACGCAGGACAGGGCCTTGCCCGCCACCGGGGCTGGAGCGAAGCTGTCGCTCGACCAGCTCGTAGAGAGATGCGAGGGCGTAGGCGTTGTGCAGCGCCGCCTCGGCCAGCGGAGAAAAGAAGGAGTGCGACGTCACCGAGGCTCCCTGGTACGCCAGCGGCAGCGGGAGCCGGCGCGCAGGAAGGGTGCGCCAGTCAAAGGTAGCGTCAGCCTCGGCGGCGCCGAGCATCTCGGTGAGCATACTCCAGAGGGCTTGGCGCGACGACATGCCATACTCCCATTGCGCGTACGCCGTTGCGTTCAGCCATCCGCCACCCACCGACGAGACAAAGCGGGAGGGGTCCAGGCTGGAGATGGGCGTGGCTGCTGCATCGTCCCACACGCGTGGAACGCGAGAAGCCTGCTCGACTGCGTAGCCCATCCGAGCAAGGCGTTTGCGGGCCGGTCCCAGCTGGCAGCCCTGCAGCCGCTCGTAGTGCTCGCACCCATCAGCTCGTTTGTGAACGGATCACTAGATGGGGACTGGAGCCCAGTCTACCACACGTACAGTGCACTGTGTCTCGTGCAGCTCGTCGCCGTTAGCCTTGCGGCGAGGTGGTGGCGACGCGCAAGGTGAGGTCGCCTCTCTCGGCCCTCGACGCTCGAGCCCTCCCGTGGTCGTGCTCGAGAGGTGGCGTCCGCTCGAACCTCGATACTACGATACTGTCCGATCGCTCGAGTCTCGGCTGAGCCAAAAGCCGCGTCTCAAGCGTCGATTGGACCGACGCCAAAGGCCTGTGAGGCGGGTCATGTGGGGGCGCCTGTGTTCGGCTTCTTTTCGCGTATATCGGTCCATATCGTACAGACGGAGGGTCGGACTCGGAGCGCGCGCGCTGGTGGAGGGTCATTTCCGTCTCTACGATCGATATCGCGAGCGCCTCGTGTACACGCTTGCGGAGAGTTGCACGGAGATCTCGCGGTCCGGCGCGCGGTGTGGTCTCCGCGGTCACACGGAGACTCTCCTACCCAACCGCACAGGGCCCGTCGTAGACACTGACACATTCTGACGGAGGGATCAGAGCTACGCGCTCCGACCGCTTGGCTAGCACCACGCTGCGCTCCCGCACAGCGCGCGAGAGCCGCCCAAGTTCCTCACCGTCACCCGTTGCCTGTCGAGCGACGAGGGCGAGCGCCTCGCCCATCTCGCGCTGGTAGTCTAGGTCGGCCGTCACTCGGAAGACGGTCGAGCCGTACGGCGACCAAGAGACGAGGTGCAACGTGGCAGCGCCGGTGGCGAGCAGCTGCCCCTGCAGCTGCGGCATCATGCGAGGGAGTACCTTGACGTGCGGGGCGGGTTGGCCTCCGCGGAACGGGCACTTGACCTCGACGACTAGGCCGCCAGGCCAGACCTGCTCGGCCCCGCGGACGATCGCGTCGGGCGTCGCGCCAACAGAGGCGCGCGCGCCGGAGGGATGCGAGACCTCGAACGGCCAGAAGCCAGTCTCGTGTGCTTCAGCCGAGGGGCATGCCGCCGAGAGGTACGACGAGAGGTAGGTGGCCAGCCCGCTCGCTTCGTGGCGCTGTCCCCAGTCCACGCCAGGGTCGCTCTGCTGCACATCGGCTGACGCGCCCGCGCCCAGCTTTCGCGTCAGCCGGTGCGCAGACGCCTTGCCGTGGAACCCGAGGGCCGCGGCAAAGTGGGAGGCGGTCAGGCGGCCCCGACGCCGTTCGAGCCACCGCGCGTTGACGCCGCCGCAAACTCTCTGCGGTACCTCAGGTCGACGCGTCGATTGCAGCGGCGCCACGTCCCAAGCCCTCCGCAGGCGCGGAACATCCTCTAAGCGGAGCCTCGCGCACCTCGCCAGCTGCTCCTGCAAAGGCACGGTCCGGCGGCTGCGCTCGCACCAGAGCGGACGTGACGAGGAGGAGCCTCTCATGGCTGTCGCTCCGTCGAGTTTCTCGAGGTCATCTTTTTTTATCTGTAAGGGTCCGCCCGCAGGCGCATTTTGTATACCGAGGCGGTGCCCGGTGCCGAGCGCAGGCAGAGCCCACAGGTCGGACCTTAAGACAGCGTTGTAGATCCCTGGGCGAGGGTGATGGAGGGGGGGGTCCGGCGGCGGAGCACCCACCTCCTCCCGGCGTGCCGGGAGGCAGGATGTCATCCCCCGTGATCCAGACCGCCCCGTTGGAGGTAGGCCGCTCGTCTAGCCAATCAGCCTTAAGCGAGCGGCCTGGCCGTTGGAATGGCCCAAGACCGGTCCCCGTCGGGAGGGACTCTGGAAGACGAGAGCAACCAGGTGCCCGGGGGCGTCCCGCCCACATCCGGATGACCTCTCCTCCTTCGACCAGCCGTCCCCGTGGTGGTCACGCGGCCTCTGGCTGGAACGGGATCTACCTCGCAAGCGAGTCACCCGGGCCGGCGCGCGTCTTCCGGGAGAGGGGCGGGAGCGAGGGACCTCCTTAGTAAGCCGGCATGCAGGCGCATGCGCGGCCGTTCAGAAACTTTCCCAGCCGTTGGAATGGCTGCGCTCCTGCCCCTCACGCCGGGTGGACAAGCGGGGGGAGGTCAATGACCTACCTAGTTAGCCGACATGCCAGGCATGTGCGGCCGTTCGGAGTCCCCCCTCGTAGACGTGTGCCGCTGGGATCATTCCAGTACGCCCGAGGGCGACGGTCCCCCGGTAGTAGACGTTGGCGCCGAGGAGGGAGGAGTCGCTGAAGGACGGGTAGTCTTTGCTGAAGAAGAGAGGTGCGACGGCTTGATTTGGAGGCACTGGAGGCGAGGGTGGGGAAGGGAAGGTTGGGCCGGGCCGTGAGGGGCTGATGGCGCTGGCCAGCGCGGGGTGTGAGATGTCGTCGTCGTCGTATACTGCTGGCCCTCGCCCTCAGTTGCCAGGGCTGTGGGCTGCAGAATTGGCGTCTGTGGCGTCTACGCAGGCTCTGCAGCGTGATGGCTGGCGGGACTGCGAGGCTGGCGGCAGCGGAAGGAGAGGCTGGGCACGAGCCAGGAACAGGCTGGCCAGGTCCGCAGGTGGCTGCGCTCGGGCGAGGCGCGCGCGCACATGGCAGGCCGAGCAGGCTCGGCATATGGTGAACCCCTGGCGAGGTACTCCCACGCCTCTCGGGGTTTTTGTCTGGCCGAGTCAACCCGAGATGGGGCGAGCCTCGGCGAGACTGCGTCAGCTGTTCCCACAGCAGGCTGGAAGTACCTCGCCAGGTGAACCCCCGATGTCGCGATGCGGTCCCGCTTTCCGCGATCATTTCGTCCGTCCAATCGAAGGAAGCGCCGGATCGCCCATGTTATGGAGTTAGCCAAACTTGCCCCGCCGTTCTTCGTCCCACGTTCCGTGGTTTTTGCACGGTATTCGGATTTTCGCTATTTGGTCGTGTGGGTGTGAATTCCGGGATTAGTCAATGGTACCGCGTCGGCGACGCGGGCGCCTTGCGGGCAGAGCCCTTAGCCACCCTTTTTTCTTGCGCGGTCAAAACGGAGACCTCTACTGTGAGATGGGTAAAAAGGAACAGGTCCCCGCAGGCTTTTTTTTTGCTTTTTGGTTTTCGCGCGGCGAACACGTGGTGGCTGTGCCGCGACTGGCGCCTGACTTGGCGCACGGGCTGGGGTAGAGAGAGAGATTCAGATTTGTTGTCCGACAGCTCTCACATGCATGGCGGGTTGGCGTGCACAAAAAAGGAATCCGGGCGCGCCAGCAGTGTGGAGCAGAGCGTGCCCGGGGAAACTACGCTGCGGCTACGGGCCCCACTGGCAATGCGAACGACACACACATGGACATTCATGGCTCTGTATTCTGTCCGTATTCGGCGCTCGCCCTCACAGGAGCATGCGGAGCGCGGAGACGTAGAAGAAGGCTGGCGCCGCGACGAGCAGGTACGAGTCCAGCCGGTCGAGGAGCCCCCCGTGGCCGGGCATGATGCTGCCCGTGTCTTTGACGCGCGCGGAGCGCTTGAGCAGCGAGACGGTCAGGTCGCCGGCCAATCCCATCAGCGCGCAGCCGATGCCGTACAGGCCGCCGGTCGCGAGCGGGTAGGGCCAGCCCAAAAGGACGGCCGCCGCCGCCATGGTCGCCGTCGCCGCGACGACGCCGCCCCACAGCCCCTCCCACGTCTTCCCCGGCGAGACGGAGATGAGCGGCGTGCGCCCGAACCGCTTGCCGACAAAATAGGCCGCGACGTCGGCGAAGACGATGGCGAGCATCGTCCACCACTGCACGAGCGCCCCTGCCGTCAAGAGGTCGCTGCGGGACCGCTCCAGCGCGACGAGCGGCGCGCAACCCCGCAGGCGTGGAGGCACAATCGCGGGGAGCAGCGCCGCGGGCGCCATCGGCCCGATGCCTCTCAGCCGCACCCAGAAGGAGGGCATGTAGCCAAACAAGAAGACGCCCATGAAGGTGGTGCCGACGTCGTCGTACGTCGTTGGCGGCGTGTCGCGCGGCGTGTACCTCCAGGGAGACATCACGGAAGGCTCAGGGAAGGTGCGGCGGAGCCGTGGCGGCTCCCCGGCGTGCCGCGGCGTGTACCAGGGGAAGAGGCGGCCGTAGCAGCGCTCGAAGCCGGGCCGGAGCAGCAAGTAGATGATCGTCGCGCACCCCGTGAGCGGAAACGCAGCCTCCCGCATCGCCACCGACGGGCAGGCGGCGGCGACGTACCTGCCGGGCAGAGGTGCGGCGGTCGGAGCCGAGCGCTGCACTGTCGCGCGGGCGATCGGGCGGCGGGCGCACATGGCGCACGAGCCGAGTAGGCCGAGCTTCCAGGTTGGGTTGATCCCTACAAAAAGGCGTGCTCTCTCGCGTGCAGGCCCTGGGAGGCGGGTCCGAGGCTTGCGCGTGGTCGTGTGAGCACCGTTGCGGCGGACCATGTCGTAGTACTCGTTCTGTGCGACGACCGCGAACATCATGAAGACGGACAGGAAGCCGACGGTCCCGGAGAAGATCCAGCTCGAGACAAAGACGGCGAACGAGAAGCCGGTGAAGCCGCGCCGCCACAGACCTCGCCGCCGGACCTCGCCCGGCGCGAAGGCGCCCACGGTACATGGGACCAGGGCCGCAAGGCAGAGGGAGATTGTGCCGACGATCGGGCGAACCGATCGTGCCAGCACCTCGGCGGCCAGCATCCGCGGCGCACCCGCTCGCCGCGCCTGAAGCCGCGCCTGAGCCGAGCTGCGAGGACGAAGGGGCGCTGCCGACACAGCCGCTCCCAGCAAAGGGCGGCGCACGAGAGGCGATGGCCTCGCTGCTGCGTGAGCCACGTGCGGCTGGAGCGCGGGCAGGAGCGCGACTGTCCAGGCGGCGGCGAGGCTGAACATGTACAGCCGAGCTCAGGCGCGACCCTCGCGCGAGAGCAAGACAAAGAGAAGTGACCACACTGCGGAGCCCGGTCTCGTGCGGCTGCCACAGCTGCCACAGCGATGGGCTCGCCCTCAGTGTCCCTCAGTCACTTGTGCTGCGGCTTGGGGCTTCTGTCACTGAGCGACAAACTGCCGGCGACTGCCGGCACACTGATCACTGTAAGACCATGTGCATGGGTGTGAGGTCAGGTGTATGTGTTAACGTATAACGAACCAAGTTGCAAGTAACGAACCGCGCGCGACCGCGCAATGCGGCTTGAGCGAGGGCTTGAGCGCCACAACACCCGGTCGGCACCTCGCGCCATCTCGGCCGCCGCTGAGCCTGAGGTCAGATCCTTCTCCTCTGTTGATGGTAACACTTGTCTACTCGCTGGAGCCGAGCAGGAGGGCCCGGCGCACAAGCCACCTGTGCATAGTGCAACTCAGGGTCCACACCCCGTACCGCAAGTGTGTGAGCGCACTCCGGCACGACAAGGGCGTGGATTGGCGCACACTATAGCACACAGGACGCGCCGCCGCCGCGCAAACGGAGACGCGGAGCGATAGCAGCATCTCGGCGCCGCGATCACTTGCTCGCCATCCGCGACTTGGTCTTGTCTGCGAGGACCGACTTGAACCCGCTGCCCATGTTTGACGAGATGGAGACGGCCTGCCGCAGGAACTGAAAGTCGGGCTCGACGACCGCGTCGAGGCAGAAGGCCGCCACGTCGGCGCGCGTGATGGCGCCCGCGTCCTGGTCCTTCCCCGCGGTGACGACCCCGGTGGGCGGGTCCGACTTGAGGCCGCCCGGGCGCACGATGCAGTACTCGAGGTCGGCGCCCGCCGACGTGATGACCGCCTCCTGCGCGTTCTTGTCGCTCATGATGGACGACATCACAGTCATCATCAGCAGCCGGAAGGCCCACGGCGCCTGGTCCATTGAGTCGCCCGCGCCGATCGTCGTGACGACCGAGATGCGCTTCACGCCATTGGCCTTGCAGGCGGCCACTATGTTGGCGGTGCCGTCCTGCAGCATCGTGGGGCCGACGTCGCTCGTCTTGCCGCCGAGCGCCACGACCACGCCCGTCACACCTGTACGGGGTGTGCGCATGTGTGGAACCCTGCTGCTCACGCGTGGACGGCCGAGGAGAGCACTCGCCTCCGCTGGCAAAGACCGCGTCGACGTCCGCCTTGTTGGTGACGCTGCCGGTAGTGACCGAGAGCTTGTCGCTGGCAAACGGCGAGCCCTCCGAGAAGCCCGCCGCCGTGCGCGGCGCCTTGAGCTTGGAGGCGTCGCGGACGAGGCAGCTCACGTCCTCGCCCCGCTCGAGCGCCTGCAAAACCGCCTCGCTTCCAGTGCCGCCGCTCGCGCCGAAGACCGCGATGCTCAGGGTCGGAGCGCGCGCACGCGGCGCCACCGCCGCCGGCGAGCGCGCCGGCGAGAGGAGGAGGCCCGACGACAGCAGCGCGGCCGTGGAGAACAACATGCAGCGCGATGAGAGTTTTCGCTGTCGTTCGCAAGAATTTCTTTTTTCGCCCCATCGGGCCATGGTGGCCCAAGAAAAGAAGATAAGAATGTGTGACTTTCTCACTGCATCGCTGCAGAGTGTCCCTTCTAAACAAAGAAAGAAACAATTCATCAACACAGACAATATGCTTCGAGGATGTTAGTTGAAGTTGTTTTTATCGTGCCTCGTCGTGCGCTGCTCACTCACTATACACTGAGTGGAGAGAGAGTACACCACACACACAAACACTACTCCCCAACACGCGGCCTGAGGGAGGGTGTAGAGGATGTAGAGTGTAGAGCACTGTAGAGCTGTAGAGCTGTAGAGATGTAGAGCGCTGTAGAGCTCTACATCCGCCGTGGGACGAAGCGCCTCCGTTGTAGAGCGATGTAGAGCGCGATTTTGCTGTAGAGTTTGTTGTAGAGGCTCTACAGCCAAACCGCCGGGAAGGCAGTGACTCAAAGAGGTCGAGCCGCGCTAATGGGGTGTCTCCGAGCTTACTGGAGCTCTGATGGACAGCCCTGACTATCCCTGACACATACAGAGAGTGACTCCGACGGCACACAACACCCTATAACTGCGTCATGATCAGCCTGCCATGTGTCGCCGGTGCCGCATTCGTCGCTGTGCTTCTTTAGCAGGCGGTGGACTGTCGGCTGCGAGGACGGTCGCATTTGCGCGAGCGAGGCGAGCATTCAGACGCGTTGCATGCGCCATGCCTCGCGCCAGCGCGTGCGGGAGCTCCTGGCTGAGCGTTGAGTCCAGGCGAGTTGCGCTGGCCACTATTGCTACGCCGAGCCGAGCTGACGCGCCGAGGCGCCGGCCAGTCGCAGCCGTGAGGCATGCCACAGCAGCAGAGGCACCTGCCACCCATTGGGCGGGCAGACAGAAGGCCAGGGAGCTCTGGCAAGTGCAACGCGCCTCATGTCGGAGAGCGACCGTGCCTCGTTCGCCGCTATGGTAGAGTTTGTTGTTATATGATAGTAGTGTGGCAGTTTGGTCGGAGGGCGCCCGGGTCGCCCCGGAGTCGGCAGTAAAGCAAGTGGGTGGAAGCGGGGGCGACAGGGACGGCGGCGGCGGCGGCAGGGGGGGGGGGTCGGCGATGCCGAGGTGTGTGCCCATGTCTGAGGGAGGGTGTAGAGGATGTAGAGTGTAGAGCGCTGTAGAGCTGTAGAGCTGGAGAGCGCTGTAGAGCTGTAGAGTTCTACATCCGGCGCGTGACGATGTGAGTCCGATGTAGAGCGATGTAGAGGCGCTCTACAACGTGAAATCTCTACAACAAACTCTACATCATAAGCGGCGAACGAGGCACGGTCGCTCTCCGACATGAGGCACGTTGCACTTGCCAGTGCTGCCCTGGCCTTCTGTCTGCCCGCCCAATGGGTGGCAGGTGCCTCTGCTGCTGTGGCATGCCTCACGGCTGCGACTGGCCGGCGCCTCGGCGCGTCAGCTCGGCTCGGCGTAGCGATCGTGGCCAGCGCAACTCGCTTGGACTCAACGCTCAGCCAGGAGCTCCCGCACGCGCTGGCGCGAGTCATGGCGCATGCAACGCTCAACAATGATCGCCTCGCTCGCGCAAATGCGACCGTCCTCGCAGCCGACAGTCCACCGCCTGCTAAAGAAGCACAGCGACGAATGCGGCACCGGCGACGCATGGCAGGCTGGTCATGACGCAGTTATAGGGTGTTGTGTGCCGTCAGAGTGACTATCTGTGTGTCAGTGATAGTCAGGGCCCCCGTCCATCAGAGCTCCAGTAAGCTCGGAGACACCCCATTAGCGCGGCTCGGTTTGGCTGTAGAGCCTCTACAACAAACTCTACAGCAAAATCGCGCTCTACATCGCTCTACATCGGACTCACATCGTCACGCGCCGGATGTAGAGCTCTACAGCTCTACAGCGCTCCAGAGCGCTCTACAGCTCTACAGCTCTACAGCGCTCTACACTCTACATCCTCTACACCCTCCCTCAGGCCCATGTTTGTGCGTGGGGGACGTTGCACGCCGCGGATCAGGCCGGGCGGCGGGGCGGAGGAATCGGACGGCGACGGCGGCGGCAGGGACAGGGGCAGTGGCAGTGGCCCAGGGATGGTGGCGACTGCCGCGAGCGCGATGCAGCCGCAGCCAGGCCCGCGTACCGGCAATGCGAGACGACATTGACAGTTGGAGCCGCCCGCGGCTTGCAGAGCGTTTGAAAGTTGTCGGGCTATGTGTGTGTCGTGGGCGACGCCCGTCCGCAGCTGACACGTCGTGGTGACGATGATGGCGAGGAGCATATTGGTGGAGAGGAGCGTCCCGGCGCTGCCTGCGCTCCCTCGAGTTAGCGGTATAGGCATGGGGACAAAAATCTTTTTCATCAAAACTAGAGCACTAAAAAAATATCTCGAAAAATTTTGCAGCCCGCGCGCGCGCCCGGCCCTGGCCGGCTCCAGTTGCGCCGATGGAGGACGGCTGCCAGCGCATACACCTCGCGCTCCCGACCGACGGCGTGGTCTCTTGGCGCGGGCGCTCGGCCCAGCCGGCGGCGGACGAGCAGCGAAAGAAGCGCGCGGCGCTCGGCCCCGAGGCGGGCGATCGGCCAACCAACCGCTTCCAGCAGATCATCCAGGACATGGAGCGGAAGTACGCCACGTCGCGCATGCCCGTGGCCCGGCCGCCGCCCAAGCGCGCCCGCCAGGCGGAGGAAGGCGACGCGGCGGGCGCGGAGGGAGCAGGCAGCGGCGGCGACGCGGCGTTGGGCGACGCGTGCGATCGTGCGAGTGAGAACGGATGTGGCGCAGCCGACTCGGAGGGCGGCGGCGGCGGCGGCAGCTGCGCGGTCGGCGACGGCGGCGCTTCCGTGGCCGACGGCGGCGGCGACGGCGGCGAGGAGGTGGGAGGCGGGGAGATGAGCGACGACGGCTCGTGGTACGACCTGCAGGACGACTTCATCGACGACACAGAGATGTTCGAGGGTGCCGAGGGCTGGGAGTCGGACTACGAGGACGACGCACGCAAGGGCGGCCTCGGCGGCGGCGGCGGCGGAGGCGAGGGCAGCAGCGGCGGCGAGGGTGAGGGTGGCGAGGGCGGAGACGGAGGCGGGGATGGCGGCGGCGAGGCGGGCGGCGGAGGCGGGCCCGTCCTCAAGGCAACGGGCTTCTTCATCTCTCGCGGGGCGCTCCAGTCTGAGGCCCAGGCCGCGGCCGCCGCCGAGCGTGCCGCGCGCCGCGCGAGCGAGTCTCTGTCGAGCCGCCCCACCGCCCTGCGGACACGTCCACGACATGTCCGAGACATGTCCCGTAGGCGAGTTCATCGACCCGCCGCCGCGTTCGGCCAACGCGGGCCCGTCCCCCGCGTCCGCTCGGCCGCGGCTGCCTCCGCGGCCGCCTGCTTTGCCGGCGCAGAACGGCGGCGGCAGTGGGGCGGCCTCGAGCAGCGGGGCGGCCTCGAGCAGCGGGGCGGCCTCGAGCGGAGCCAACCGCGCGCCGGTGCGTCCGCCGCTGCCTCGAGCCGCCGGCAGCGGCTCCCGCCCGCCGACAGGGTGCTCCGTCTGGGGCGCACTCTCGGTGCTCGCGGCGCTGCTGCACGTGCCTGTGCCGGAGGGCGCCGAGACGGAGGCGCACCGGCCGGGCAAGGGAGGCAGCCAGGCACGCCGCCGCGGCAGAGCTGTTGCAACAAGGTGGTGGAGAGGCGGCCCGGAGAGGCGTAGCGTGTGTCTGCTGGGTAGGGTGCCGGCGAGGCGTTTGCGCGGCTCCTCAAGGAGGTGCAGGAGGCGGCGCCCCGCCTCAACGTGACCGTCCGCGCCGTCAAGGCGGCGGTCGAGCGGAGGCGCGCTTGCGGTGATCGGCGTCTCTTCACGCCCCTGTCTGTGAGCAGGCGATGGTTGAGCAAGCGGCGCGCGTGACGCTCGGCAAAGTCGAGGGCTGGAGCCGCCTCGCCCGCACGCTCGCCGCCAACCTTACCAAGGAGCAGCTGCGCGCCATCCTCCTGCCGAACGGCGTCCCCGCCGCCGTGCCGCAGCTCCAGTCAGCCGCCGCCGCATCGGCTGCCGCGTCGGCCGCCGCCACTGCCGCCGGCAGCGGCGGCCCCGCGGCGTCCGGCACGGCCCCCGCTGCCGCTGCTGCGACGACCGGCCCTACCGCCGCATCGGCCGCGGGTGACATGTTCGGCGTCCTTGGCACTTCGCCGGCGGCGTTGGCGGCCGCGGCGGCCGCCGCGGCTCGGGTGGCGGGCGGGGGCGGCGGCGCAGGCTGGGGCGGTGGCGTCGCGGCGGGGTCGTTCGTCGGGTCGCACGACGTGGGCTACTACGTCGAGGACATCGACGGCGACGAGGAGGCGCCGCCCCCACCCCCTGCCTGCGCCGTTCCAGACGGGGGACACGCCCCGTGACGCGTCCGTGACGTGACCAGGTGCCGCTCGCCTACCCCGCGCCCGCGCAGCTCGCGGCCCAGTCCTCCTCCCCGCGGATGCCGTGGGAGCCGTCGGTGCCGGCGATGCCTCCGCCACCGCCGCCGGCCAAGGATGTGGCAGCGCTCGCGGCGGCGGCGGCATCGGCCATGATTGCGGGCGGCGGCGGCGGCGCGGCGCAGCGAGGAGGCGGGGCGGCGGGCGCTTCGTCGGCTGCTCCGCCGGTAGGGGCTCCGCCGCCGTCCGACGCGTGCCTCCTCTCGGTCACGGTCCCGTACGGCTGCGTACCGGGGCAGACTCTCCAGCTCTCCACCCCGGCGGGGAAGCTGCGCGCCCTCGTCCCTCCTCTCTTCACACCTCCACCTAGCTCCGCTGTGAACAGGCGGGCGCGAAAATGCACGTCATCGTCCCTCCCGGCTGCGGCCCGGGCTCCGTCTTCAACGTCCGGCCGCCGCCCCGGCCGCCGCCCCAGCCACCGCCGCCCTTTGCGCCGCCCGCCTTGCGTGCGCCTCCGGCGGCCCCTCCCTCGCTCGCGCCTGGCGGCGCGTGCGGGGCAGCAGGCGGCTTGGCGTCGCGTGGCGCGGGGGCGGCTGCAGG